AATTCTAGAAAGTGTTGGAGATCTTTTAGCTTAGTTAACAACTTTTATTCGAGAATAGTTTTAATCTTATCGGGATTCATTTTGATATTACTAGAAATAATAATTAGATCGAAATACTTTATTCTTCTTGTTTCGAATTTACATTTGTTAATATCAATTTGTAATCCAATATCAATAAGTCTTTAAACAATTTTGCGAATTTACTTTCAATAATTTATAACATTTTTAGAATAGATTAAGATATCATTTAGATACACTATACAATTCTTATTTAAAAGATCAAAAAGAATATGATTGATATAATTCTGAAACGAGATAAAAGTATTGCAAAAGCCGAAAAATATCATTAAGAATTCGAATAGGCCGAAACGAGTTATAAAAGCAATCTTCTATTTGTAATCTTCTGCAATCTGTAGTTTATTAAATATGATAATAATATCCAATTTGATATAAACTTTAATATAATATAAGGTATTAAGGGTTTCTTTGATTAATAATAATAAATAACGATTTTTAATAATAATATTATTTAGTTTACAATAGTCCTAGCAGATTCAAACACTTCTCTCAGGCTTTACAACTAAGAGAAGTAGGGTAGCCGATTGGGAGTGGGATTTGCAAATGAATTCTTTATTTAGATTATCATCGAGCTATTTGCAAATAACTTGAAGTTCAGTTAGGGATATTAGGTAACCTTTATTATACAGAAACTCTTTGTCTGGTATAATCTTGATTTTGTGATTCTAAAAATATTATAGCAAAAGTTTGTTAATAAAGAAAAATAAAAACTCAATAAATAGATTACAAAGCCAAAATAATAGCTTACTCTGAATTTCTATTGTAAATGGTACAGGTTAATCAGTCTTTTCTATAAACTTCTTGATATTACTTTTTATAATATTGCAATATAATTGAATAGGATTGTTTATTATTATATAGTGTAACTTGTAAGCTCTATCTAATTCATTCCAGGTTACTTTTGTGATATAAGCTTTCTGATCTTTATAGAATTGAATAAGCTATTAATTGTAAGGAACTTTATATTGTTCATTTTCTATCGAATATTTTGTAAAGTATTAATTGGTTCCTTAAAAGGCTTTTATAATAATAAGGGATTTAATAGAAATAAAACGTTTTGGTTTCGTAGTAATCTTTTATATATCCTAAAGCCTGCAATGATTCATATTAGAGCTGGTTTCAGGATCGGCCGGTTTGATATTATCTTAACACAGGTTTCTGTTTTTCTATTGATTTGGTAAATATAATAGTAATTTGAATTGAATAGTATTGGATTAATAGGATTTATATTGTAAAGATTTCTATCAGTATTCTTCTTTATAGCTGAAATCGAAGAATTGTATTCCAAAAGTATTGATTAGTTTGGGATAAAAAGGAGGGAGTTTGAAGACTTTTGTTGATGACTTTTTCGATAAAGACATAATATAGGGTTGAAATAGATTTCTTCGAAATAGATTTCAAATAGATTTTCTAATGGGAATATGTAGTATTGAATTGAATACTATATCTACTGAGATTAGCATATTATTATAATCAGGGATAATAGTTATAGCAGAGTTAACTGAATAGTAATATCTAGAGTAGTATATAGATATGAACTTAAGAGTTATTGTTACCCAATTAATGATAGGGTTATAACACTAAAGCTATAGAAGACTGAGGATTATAGGATTTGCGTTAGAAAGATTAGTAATGTAGAATAAGCCAATTTCTTTATAATTATTAATTCGTAAATCTAATAATACATATTAAAATAGAATATCAGAAGTCCTTCTATCTACAAATAATAGGTTTGTAAATAGTAGAAAAGGGATGTATAGAGATATCAAGCTTAGATATAAGGGTTCTATCTATAAACCTATATCTCGTGGTTTCACTATTTATTAAGCTAATAAGTGGAATAATTATATTAAGCATAAGGAAATTTCTATTGAGATTTTAAGAGATTTGCTATTTATTATTCTAAAATATAAAGGATCTTTAGATATAACCAATCTCTTAATTTACAAAAACAAACTTTCCATAAAGAATCTCGATTCGCAATTATAAATCGAGATTAATCTTTTAATATACTTGGCTGGGGAATTGAATTTCCACTATTATCCGAATATATGGAGCCTTTGACGAATCCACCCAGATCTCTGCTACCAATAAGAACTGGAGAGGTGTATCGAAATAGTACTGTAGTAGTCGGAAAACGATTAGCAAATGGGAATATATTCTAATAAGTAGAACTATAAGTATTGCAATAAGATTCAGAATTATAATAATAATTAATAATAAGAAAACAATGAACATTCGGAGCGTATTAATTCATAGTAAAGGAATGATCGAGATATTATATAATTCCTAAATTGATATTATATTTTGTATTATTGCATCGCTTTTCTTTGCAATTGAATTTGATATAATTAGGCTTTTTGCAATAAAAGCAGAGACCAAGATCTAGATATTATTCTCTATTATAATGTAATAAGAATCGCTAGCCTTAACAAGTAGTATTTAGTTGTATAGAATCTCCAAAGAAATCAGATGTAGGTATTACAATAGCAATAGCAGGCTTCTTTTCATTGGGTTTTTTCTAATCACTGAAATTAGTATCTTGATTTTTGTATTAATTGTTAAGATGAATCTTTTTCTTTAAATCATTATAAATGTCTTGCTATTAAACTATTTATATATCGATATCGATAGCAAAAGGTTTATTAGAGTAATTAATTGAAGTATTGATTAGTTTTTATGAAACTTTAAATTTAAAATCAGCAATTTGTTATTCAGCAGTCTTCTTGCATTTAATAGCGAGCTATTTGAATTCGATAATAAAATTACCAAATAGAATTTTCTTCATTTTATATTTATCATAATCTATAGAAGTTTTGTGTAAAAGATTTAGAGTCTAGTATTATTTATTTAATTCATATCAGATATCTACTATAATGTATTATCCAGAAAACCAAAATCGGAATTATATGCGTTGTCTGTAATTATATCAAAATGTATCTGATTGTTTGTATAAATAGGGCTAAAAAGTAGGCTAGCAAGAAATATGATTTTCTGAAATTCTAATTCATTTTTGTAATCCGTAATTAAACAGTAATTGATTACACTATGAAAAATTGTATACTGATTTTAATATTTTACAATATCTTATTCATTACCACTAAACTTTTTGGGAGTAATAAGATACTTACAACAAGATAAAGCTTACGAATTATTACAAACAGCAATTTTCAATATCTTAATTGTATCTTTCAATTCGATAATCTTTGATTGAATATCAATAGCTTAGATTTGAGCAGCAATAGTTTGAACTTGTAATGAGCCCGCAATCGATTCAATCGATTCAAATACAACTTGAGTAATAATGAAGTATATAGCATTTGGGTTATTGAATAGATCTATAAAGAGAGAGATATCGATTTCAACAGAATTAAAAACATAATTCAAGAAAAGAATTATGGAAATAAATCAGATACAGATACTTCTAATGCAAATACTTGTTCACCCATCTTTAGTGCTTTTTGAAATTCAAAATATTAATAATAGAATATACAATAGATTAACAGTGAATACAATTAGTGTGATTAGGATAAGGCATCAATAGAGCTTTGGAAATAAAATGGGAAATAAAGCTATAATAGTTTATTTGATAATAATACAAACTGTTATGGTATGGATAAAGACTTATATTGTATTATAAGGGTAGAAGAGCTATAGAAAAGTGAAGCCCTACTTATAGGAAGTAGGGCGTGCTAGTATTTTGTGCCTGAGGCACGAAGGCAACTACAGATCATGTAGTTGGCGCCGTGACAAAAAGGCTGTTCGAGAGATTGTCCTGAGGGTTCTATTAGGGAAGTTTGGGGAGGGGGTGGGTTTTTTTATTCTTCTTTTTCTATCTATTTTAAAATCAATTAGAACTAGATATAAGTGTATTGCATAGTCTTTTAGTTATATAGCTATATAGATCGAATCGATTAAGAATTTATTACTACTACTACTACTACTAAACGCCCAAATCTTAAGCCTCCTACAGATAGGATTTATCCATCCATACTTCAAACTTCGTATATTCTACCATACTCCAAACCTCATTTATCCTACCATACACCCCTTTACCCCAATCCGCGAATCCAACTCCCTCAAACCTATCATTTCTCATGTCCTCACCGTGGTAGCCCGCGCAGTCCGCCCCTTCTCCCCTCTATCAAAATGTCCGAGAATCCTGTCCCAGAACCCAAAATCCCCATCACACCCACCCTATCCTCTCTCACCCTGTCCCTCCACACCTCCCACATCCCCTTTAAGATCATTCTCACTTTCACCCAGAATCACACCCAAAGCTCCACACCCACCAGTTTCCTCTCCCACCCAAGAAGCCCTCTATCCCAACCCTCACGATCACCTCTACCATTCCAACATTCCAACATTTCTCTCAAGGAACATTTCAAACCCCCAAATCCTAGAATTTCAAGAACCTCACTCTCAACGCATCTTCAGATGTAATCTTACCAACTCTCCAGCCTCCCAACCCCTCAAATATCAAAATAAAAATAAGATGTCTCGAGGCTCAAAATCACGGCGAAATGTATGAGACCTCCTAACTGATAATAAAGTCCGGGAATTGTACAAAGTATATTTATAAACTTATATGCCTTTATATTAATGCGCAAGAGAAATACTATAGAGCATTGCAACTTATAAATAACAGGCAAAATCGATTCTTTAGGGAAAACATATTTATTCTATAAATCAAAATCAAAATCAAAATCAAAATCAAAATCAAAATCAAAATCAAAATCAAAATCAAAATCAAAATCAAAATCAAAATCAAAATCAAAAGCAAAATCAAAGCAAAATCAAAATCAAAATCAAAATCAAAATCAAAATCAAAATCAAAATCAAAATCAAAATCAAAATCAAAATCAAAATCAAAATCAAAATCAAAATCAAAATCAAAATCAAAACCAAACTAAACAAAACGATTATTAATCATATCATATCATATCATATCATATTACATCATTTCAACTCATTCCATATCAAATCCTCCTCCTCTACTAATATCAAAATCTCCAATACCCTCCCTCTTCTCTTCTACACCCCAAACTCCCACATTATTACATAATTCTCGTATTCATTATACATATATTTCCTTCCTCATCCCTGCCAGCCCAGAATGTACTACTCGAGGTCATTCTTCATCTTTTGTAAAATATATTCATTAACCCCTCCTCCCTTCCCATTATTCATCAACATAAGGATTCCACTCCATACCCGGATAACTCGTTGCCGACATTTGCAATTTATCCTCTTTTGCATGTGTTATTTTATTAACGACATCATTATGGTGAACATACTCGCTAATCTCGCGTTCTTTAATATCTGCCACCCCTTCACCACCTCTCATTGCAACTTCATTTTCTCCCTTCCTCTCCGAGTACCCGTCTCCCAAATCGGCATCCTCGCTTGGTAATCTTGAAACCGGATTCGAAAATCTATCACCATGACGCTTCATGTCGTCATCGCAATCCACATACAATTTATCATCCATCACACTCACCCTGTGTGGTTGTGGGGATGGGGAGTCAGACATTTGTGACACAGCACTAACAAGACTTCTTCCCGTGCTAGAACGCCGTAAATCATCATCCGTAGCCACCGAGAGATTTCTATTTCGATGCCAGTCTGGGTTTTGCTGAGATGGCGAGGGTGGCAATGGAAAACGATCGATGTCAATATTTTCGTATGACGGTGAGAATTCACCCATGGGCAATGGAACTGAAGTTGGACTTCTCGATGCTAGATGTTCGTCCTTAGAAGGATGAACAGGTGGCGTAGATGAGCGATAGTATTGATCATGCGCATCACTGCTATATGGTAAAGCAAGCTGAAAAGGACGTTGCTGACCAGGCTGCTCGCGAGCGGGAGATCGAGCTAGGATGTCCTCGTCGCTTGGGAGATCGGTACGAATATAAGATATCAATGGTGAACGATGTGTATCTATAGATGGTAAGTTTATAAGTCTTCTTTCGGGTGAGAAGGTTTGATGAAGTGGTGGTGATTGGTGCGAAACGGAGGAAGCAGAACAAGCAAGAGGTGAGACAGGTGATGGTACTGAGTACTGTTGGGATGAATTGGGAAGATCTTCCCCCAGAGACGGACGATTAAGTTTATTAATACCGCGTGGGTCATAGTTGGTAGGTGTTGAAGTCGTTCCATCACCACGAACAAGATTATATCCATCTGGAATGGGGACTGAATCATATTGGGGCTCAGGGAGTCGTGGTGGGGTGTCGTACCAACGAGGATGATGATGCGAACGAGGATGTGAGTAATCCTGTTTGTTACCATCCGACCTGCTAGAACTGCGAGTCTGTTCTTGTTCTTGTTCTTTTTTCCTTAATCTTTGCGCGGGTGTGGCAATTGCGTCGGGTAAGACCTCATGTGATTCCGCGCCTAGATCCGAGTACATTCTAGCCACTGGTACAACCACAGGCTTTCTTCCATCATCTTCATTTCTTTCACTATCTTTCTCTAGCGTATTCGATCTTTTTCTAAGCATACCGGTCAATAGTCCACTCACTGAAGGGCGCCTCGGGCGGGGTTCCAGATGCAGCTTACTATCCTGTCTTGATGGGGTTTCAGTCTTTTGAAGAGAGGTGGAGGGGCCCAATTTCGAAAGAAAGTTCAACGGTTGACTTGGTCTTCGTTTATGGCCCATATTTGTGCTTTGTGTAGAATGGGCTTCGAACTGAGGCGAAGAAAGGGTGCCAGTTCGGGGACCAAAGCTTGAAAGATCTGTTGTGGCCCTTTTTGGCTTAAAGAGAACTGACCCATCTCCTTTGGGGGAACGTGTGAAGAGGCCACTCAAACCACTTAATCGACTTCGCTTTTCATCTTTCTGAAGGGTTTTCCCCATTGTAGTTGTAGAACGTCCAAACATATTAGAATGCGATGTTTCCAATGTAGAATTAGGATTGAAGAAAGATTTTGGTGTTTGAGGACTATCGTGCTGGCTACTCATAAAGTTTGACTGGCTACCAGAATATTGTGCTACCATACTCTCTCTTCCAGAATTGGATGATTGTTCACCGGTGATATCAAATGTGCCCCAGAAGCCAGACCCCCTCATTTTTTGCCTGTCGTCACGCATCGGAGATGAAGCAGAAGTGTTACTAGGATATTTTTTCTCATCCTTTGAAACAGAACTTCTTCGCTCTCTAGACAAAGAGCGTACCAGATTTATGCCTCTAGTGACAAGGTCTGAGCTACGTCGTCGCCGATGAGCAGTAGGCTCATTAGAGCTTTCAATGGGCCGAGCTCCAGGGAGCTCATCTGCTCGGTGATATGAAGGAAAAGGTTCAGTCCGACTAGGAGGGGCTTGATGATATCCGCCAGGCATATCAGGATCACTTCTGATTTCAGTAACCGGCCCCCCAAATAGCTCGGGATAGCGTTGAGTGGAAGAAGGAGGTGTCTCGAATGGTAAAGCCGGTATCAGTGGCGGAGCATTACTATCACGAGGCTGGACAAACTGTTTATCAGAAGTCGAACCTCGCCTAGATCGAGAAATTTTTGAGACGCTGTTCCGTGAGTCTTGACGATTGTGTCTGATGGCTGGGTTTGATCGCCCCATGTCTTGGGTAGGGCTTCTTTGAACAAATGGATCTGCGACACGAGGGAAAACCGAGAAACGAGGCTGTGGGCTGATTGGAAGATTGGCTTTTGAGTCTCGAACTATGTCCGCAGTTGCAACATCTGCATGCGAATTTTGCTGTGGGACAAGATTCTCTTTAACCTCCGCCGCATTCGATGTTACTGCATTTTGTGTACCACCATTAGACTCAATCTCAAACTCATCTTCATCATCAGATATGGGAAATCTGGTTTGGGGTCTTCTGGACCCAAATTCGAATCCAAACTTGGATGTGCGTCGGATAGGCGGCAATGTCTTGGATGAAGGCTGCCTTCCTTGCTCCTCAGGAGCAGCTATAGTCTGATTTGTCGGTTGTGTAGAAAGCGGTGTTTGTACAGAACCAATAGTCGGTCGACTGAAATGATCAGATGTAGTGGCCTGATCCAGACTTGCTCCTCGCGGTCGATTAATCATGCTGATCGGAACGCGGGTTGATGATTCCAACTCCGCACGACCTTGAACTGTGTACCCTCCGATAACCGATGCAGCTGCAGCCGAATTTCTTCTATTAAGGTTTTGTCTTTGGGCATTATTAGAAGCCGCGTCATCACTAATTGATCGCGCACTCCTTGGCAGAACTGAGAGACTGTTTGATACGCAATCGTCTTTTATCAAATGCTGATTAGTTTGCTTGTCATTGGTGAAGTAATTTGAATCAGCAAATTGGGCTGTGTCGAAAGGATCCCATGTCAGTTCATACTTACTTATGGGGGCCGGAGGATTTAGAACATATTGCTCATCCGTTTTATCGGGAGCTAAAATCTCACCTGCAGTATCACGTGTCACTAAATTCATCTCCTCCGCGTGTCCCGCTTGCACCTCTTCGTCGCTTGTGGGAGGAATGCCAACCATGCCAATTGGAGTAAGCACATCCGATGAATTTGATATTTGTGAGTGTCTGGTTGGTTCGGATAGTATGTTCTGCTCTGCATTCCGAACGGGGTCGGTCCGGCCTGTAGCTCTCGATAGATTGAGCGCTAAGCCCCATGATGAACGATCAGGGTTTCTCGACTTAGGAGGGGGACTCGTCTAAAGAAGGGTTAGACTTAGCGCTAGAACACTCATTATGATGATGATGATGATGATGATGATGATGATGGGCCACATAGCAAGGAGAAAAAAACAATTGTGATGGGCTGGATTTTTTCTCAGTCGTACACACCCGTCAGACGGGATTGGGAAAGCAATAAGCATTCATCCACGCTAACTAAGCAAAACGATGGAAATTCAAAAAATAAAACGCCTAAAAAACCCATATCCAACCCAGAAGGAGATGTTAATCTACCTTATCGCTACTACCGGCCGCACGAAGCCTGTTCTTGCCTTTTGCCAGCAATCCTTTACCTGCCTGGAAACCAGCCTTTCCAGCCTTACCACCAAATATTCCAGCTGTGTGAAGGAACTCTTTTCCCTTAGCTTGAACCTGTTGAGTTGTAATTTTAGCATGAGCTGGCGAGAAGCCTTGCTGAATGCCAGATGGTCCAGTTTGTCCTGTTCGTGATGCAGGTATTGATGCTTGCGATGGTGCACTAGCATTCAAATATTGTTGATAATAAGGCGACTGCAATACCGCGGATCCGCTTCTCGTATTTCTTCTGGTTGAGCCAGTCGGTACAGTTGTTCTAAAGCCTCCGTAGCATTCATTTACATCAGCATGTTCTGGCTGTTCAGCCTTCAAGGCAAATATCCATTCATGGATACCCGAGTCCATAGCTGCAAAGCGCTCCCTTGTTTCGTCGAATGCATGTACCCTTTCATGAACTTCTTTCATCCCTACAATTTCTTTGAACGTTAAAATCTTTCCCATGCTAGACGTCCGTGGTGAAGTGGCGGATTCGCGTCGTGAAGGTGAGGGTTCACGTGCAATAAAGGGATTTGGACTACTCGATGCAGAGTGTGGATTAGAGCCAAGCGGATCAGTGGATAGATCCAATGTTGATTCAAAAGCCGGGTGTTCATGTTCAGGAGTTGAGACGATGGGATATGATGCAAATTGTGGCTGCTCCTTTTCTTGGGCCAAAGAGACGTTAACCGTGGGCGGAGATTCAGGGCTAACCGTGTGTTGATTAATAGCGGCAGCACCGCCTCCAAGAAGCACAGCGCCAGCACCTAAGGCAGCATTTCTCTCCACGTGACCATTATTATGTGGAACCTCCTCTAAGACTTCCTTCTCCGTGTATGGTTCCGGGTCCATCTGCTGGAGGCCTTCAATTGGTGCATCGGCTCTCTCAACGGGAAGCTCAGCTTGAATTGTAGGTGATTCAGGCGTATTGGTATCAGTTGGAGCTACGGTATCCATACTAGTTTCCCAAGAGAAACGTGTAGGTAAAGGTGGACGAGCTTGCTGCTTTGACATTCGGTGAGAGCTAAGAGGTCGGATTTCTGGCATGTCTGCTGGAAAAGCTTGCTCTGCTTGCAGCTTGTCGGGAGATGATGTTGCTATTGGGGAAGAGTGATCTTCGTCACCTATATCATTCCAGTAATCATCATACACATCCGTTAAGTATGTACTTTCTCGCGATTCTTCCATGTTATCGGAGATTGGTCTTTCGCGCAAGTTCTCGTGGCCTTGTTCTGATTGTGATGGGCGTGGGGATAAACTTTTGACTATGTCTTTTCGGAGTCTGTCATTTTCTTCATCCAAAGGTCCAGTGTCAGTGCTCAGAGTTGGCAATACCTGTGGTCGCAAAGGTGGAAGAAGTAGTTCATCCGCATTAAACTCATCGGCTGTACCCGGCTGGAAATCGGTAGTTGGTTCTAAAAGAGTTTCCGATGCGGGTTCTTCACCATAGACCAGGTTGTCTTTGATTGGTGGTATAGATGAAGAATCTGGGGGGTTGGGTTGATCGACAAAGTCAGGTTGCAGTTGCGCTTCGGGCGAAGCCGTTTCTAGACTAGGTATTAATTCAGGATGCGGCGTCATAGCAGAATGTACATTTCCATTTGGATCAGGTGTCGGCATCGAATCGGATTTGACACCGAGCGTAACACGTGCTGCTTCTAAAGATGACTCCGGAAGAGAATGTTTAGTGGTAGTAGGTGTCAAATCTTCCATTGCTAAAGCTTGAACTGGATCACTCGGTACCCGAGGAGACGGTGACCGAGGTGTCTCTGGTTGAACAGTGCTAGTGGTTGCAGTGGTCGTATACGACTGCCATCCACCGGGTATTTGAGGGCGGAAACTCACATCGCGATCGAGGGTTGGATGTGGCGGTTCTAGATCAGCATCCTCGCGGCAATCTTCGGCGGGAGAAGTAGGACTTGCAGATGAGATCCAGGCCTGTTCTCCCATTGATATTCTTTTGGATGCATTACCGAGATCTGGTGTTCGGGCGGGGCTATTCCCTGGACTCGGAGTACTGATATCGCGTCGATGACCTGGAATAAAAGTTGGAGGAACTACCTGATTATCGCTTTCATTTGAAATATTTTGAAGACGTGGAGAGATAGGTTCAACTTGCTCCATGATAGCAGGAGTTGACATTTCACGATCTCGATTGTCCGTGGTGCTTGGACCACGACTCATAATGGGACTAATTTCAGTGGTCCCAGTACTTTCACTATCAGATCTCTTTACATTACCTTCAGTATTGGAAACTGGTGTTGGAGGAACCGAATTATCATCCTTCCTATCGAAAGCTTGGTTGACAACAGACTTGAACCCGAAAGAGGGCTGGCTCCGAAGAGAGGTATCTCCTGGCGGGTCAGAATTTCCTGATGACGTTTGCTCTGGCAGTTCTGATATGGTTTCGGTTGGAGGGGCGGGGGCACTATCATTTGTTGATCGGGAAAAGAAGTCGGAACCAAATCCGGAAATCCGATGCACGTCCGGAAGTATGGGACTTGTGATTTTAGGCTCGGTTGGCGGATTTGTGATCTCTTGGGCTGGTGATGGAATTTCATTAGCATTAAACCCATCAAAGCCGTATTCACTCTTTCGTTCTTTAACAGGTTCTAGAATTGGCATCAGACGTCTTCCCGAATCAGAACCTTCATCGCCGAAGCTGAATCTTCCTCGATTACCAGGTCCCAAACTATCAGAACTCGACCTTCCACGGACAGCCCCTTGGCCTGGTGAATGTGATATGTCACTCGACCCTTCCATTCTAAGTGAGTCCATACTGGGTCTGACTGAATCTAATGATGCCCGCTCCCTTTCTTGTTTTTCCTCTTCAACTCGGCGATAAATATCCGCAGGTCTGATAAATGGTAAATGTTTAATATCTGACGCACCTGGGATTGTCGCAGACCGATCTGCAGAGCCAGGGGCAGGTGAAGGTCTGGAACTTGTTGGGAATGGTTGACCTAGAGTTTCATGAGATCTTTGGTAAATTCGTTGAGCTTCTACTCCCATGGTACTCAGGCTGCTCTTTCGTGCAGGAAACTTGGTAGTTGGAGCTGCAGTGGTTGCGCTTTGAGGGGCAGGGGCAGGACGCATAGATAATGGGGCCGGTACTGCAGACGGCGAAAAATCCTTCGAAGTTCCATAATCGCTTGGTGTATTGACTGAACCGACTGACAGGACCGACGAATCATTAGTATTAGTGCGAGCTGGCTGAGAAATGGTTTCGTTATTAAACGAAGATTCGGGTGGCTCGGGATTAGCAGACAAGGAAGGTTTTCGTAATCCTGTCGGAGATGGCTGCTGTGTAGATATATGTAAAGTTGGGGGGCCACTCGGGTCGCGTGTATGCTTTATACCTCCCACGCCCATTTGAGAAAACCGAGTTGCGGCAACTATGGAAGAATCGGCCGAGTGAGGCGGGGACGTAGGTAGTGGTGATTCTTGCCGAATGGTTGCGTTCGAAAAGTGCCTCGACTCGTCGTCCGCTTCGAAAGAATTCTTTCTGTTCAATGGGCTGCCAACAGACGCCGAGGGGAGATTACCATAACTCTTCTGACTCCGATCCTGTGACATTCCTCTCGCACTGGGAAGCCCTTGACCTGGTTGACGTAGACCTGTAGGTTTTGATATTGGTGCGGGTGCTGGATCGAGCTCATTTCCATATGCATCATAAGGGTCATATTCATCATCATCTCCCCAGTCGTCGCCTCCATAATCTATCTTCTTTGCCTCGGCCCATTTCTTTGTCTTTTGTCGATTTACATTCGCTCTGTAGGATATGGGAGTATTTGAACCTCCAGACGTAGGATTCCTGGTGATGTATTGTTTAGCAGCGTTCTACGCGACCTGTGAGAATTGCGAAACTGATTTGCAGGAGCTTACAATAATGACCCATTTCTTGTCCGAGGTACTAATATATGGCCTTGCCATGATGCGACAACAAACATTAATTCTTCGCGATCCACGGGAGAATCATATTTTTGACCATGAAATATGATGGATGATGGAAAGTGGCTATGGTGAGTTATTGAGAGGAGATCGAGTGTAGCAATGGAAGCGTGAGATTTATTGTTTGTGGAAGGAGTCTTTATTGTTATTAAGACGATGAGGGAATATGAGAGAGTAGGTAGGTTAGTCAGTAGTGAGGGAGTAAGTGAGTGGATCAGATACGACTTTTTGATTATCGGGAAATCTTCAGAAGTTCAGATGAATGCTGTGGCTGCGTGATTGCCCCCCCCGGTTTCTTGGAATGGGAATGGGGTAAGGGGTTCTTGATGAAGTAAGAGAGACCTAGTACAAGGAAGGAGGAGGCTACCTGGGTACTTGGATATTTAATATGGACGAGAGGATGAAGTGATGAAACGATGAAGCCATTCAATTATTGTTCGATGCGATGGAGAGAGTACTCAGTAGGTATTTGAGTAGCTATTGTGTCGAGATATATTGTAGATTTATTTATTGGTGAATTGTAGACATTCATTGATAAGGGGGTGATGCATATCGTTGTTGATGTGATGTTTTTTAGGTGAATGAAAATCATATTTAGGAGGTATGTGTACGTGCATGTATATAAGTACTAGTGTGTATATAGTATGTATATATCTACCTAGTATTATGAAGTAGATAATTACCTTACAAGCTTGAAAGAAATACTATATCAGTATCCATATAAACAAGTAGATCTTTAGCCAAATGAATACATCTATCCAACCTTGTAGAATATCTCCATAGTACTTTGAATTAATCTCCTAGTAATTACACATTCATATAAAGACAAACAAACAAACTACCTAGGTAAGTAACCGGTACATGGACCAAAATGAACGAACGACACATATTCCATACAAGTACTAGGTTGTCATCTCCACGAGTGATATTCCAGTATTCATTCATATCATGTACTCACTGCCGATGCGTTATGCATAGCATCACCAGATGATGATAAGATGATGAATTCTATACTTTGTACCCACAGACAAGCGTTGAGTTGGAACTCAGCCACAACGGCTAAAGAATGTATGCTGATAATGAACAAATGATATGTTACAGTATTTTATATTAAAAGCTTTTTCTTAAAATAAACCCCCTCTGCCTCGTGATCAAGATTGACACAGCCAACTTTTACAGGATAGAGGTAGCCTTATCTCCTTCCAAGGCTGGAATAGTAATAACAGTATCAGTACGAGTAATAAGAGATGTGTAATACAGTTCCCAATTTTAGGCTTAGCTGCTCGGTTTCAGGGTTTATGGAACACCAAGAATTTTCAGGAGTAAACACTGAAGCAAGAACTCCAAACACCAGCTGTCCTATTCTATGCCGGTACTTGTACTTGTACTCTCTCTGTAAATCATCCCGACATTCATCAACTTCACAATCCACAAATACACTTATGAGATTCCACCTTTGAATAACGTTATACCTTTTAATACAACAATTACAGCAATTACAGCAATTACATCAATCAAACTTCCTTCAACCTTCTCTCATACTCCCTCAACAAAACTATACCATTGTCTTCAACACCCTGTACAAAACCCTAAAATAATTAAATTAACTTGCGCCTCGAGGGTCTACACAACAACAACACCATCAAGAAGAAACCCAAACATTCAACCACCTCTCCACCCACAAACAAAGAAGAATAATTCTACGCTTAACCCACCAAGACATCTGGATAACCACCCAAAACCATTGCGAAAATCCCTCCACATCTATCGATCCATCCACACAAACCATCGCGATGGCCGTCGCATCGATACAAGATCGAACAAACGAGTTCCGATCCGTCCTAACACAAGTACAAAAGAGACAGGCCTCCTCGAAAGTCGGAGCGCAGAGACAATCCCTCCTCTCCGATTCCCAAAAGGCCGCTGCAAATGGCGATGCGAATGCACATGGCAAGCCGCGGAGATCTGAATTTGCGAGGAAGGCGGCCGAGATTGGGAGAGGGATCACGGGAACCATGGAGAAGTTACAAAAGTTGGCGGAATGTAAGATTGGATATTCTATTATTTTGAGTTTGAGTCTGGGAGGATGCAGAGACAATAAGCAGCAGAGAATTGGTTACTAATCTACGAAATAGTGGCAAAACGCAAAACCCTCTTCGACGACCGACCCGTCGAAATCAACGAACTCACCTTCATAATCAAACAAGATCTCTCCTCGCTCAACCAACAAATCTCCAGTCTCCAAAGCCTCACGCGCGCACAACATCCCAAAGCCGATCAAGAAGGCGAACACAACAAAAATGTCGTTTTCATGCTCCAAGGAAAACTCACCGATGTCTCCGCCAACTTCAAAGACGTCCTCGAGGTCCGCACCAAGAATATCCAAGCTTCGCGCTCCCGCACCGAGAATTTCGTTTCGTCAGTGTCCTCTCATGTTCAGCCCAATATTTCCCAATCCGCGAGCCCTCTGTATAGTACGCCCACGAGAGGAAGTCCAGGCCCGGGTCAGGATTTGTTAAGCTTAAATCCCGTGGGTGATCAACAGTTGTTGATGATGGAAGAGGCGCAACCGCAAAATGAATATATTCATCAGAGAGGAGAAGCGATCGAAGCAATTGAGCGGACGATTAACGAACTCGGAGGCATTTTTGGACAATTGGCTACGATGGTTTCGGAACAGAGTGAAATGATTCAGAGAATCGATGCGAATACCGAAGATGTGGTGGATAATGTTGAAGGGGCGCAACGAGAATTACTCAAATATTGGTCGAGGGTATCTGGTAATCGCTGGTTGGTTGCTAAGATGTTTGGTGTTTTGATGATTTTCTTTTTGTAAGTTCTTCCCTCCTTGTTCTCTCTTCTTGAAATCTCCTCTCCCATTCTTAAAACCTCTGATGAATTAAACTAACATCAACCACAGACTTTGGGTCTTAATAGCGGCGTAGAATGAATGGTTCTTCTATCGATATACATGACCTAACGCAACACTGAATGCATGGAAATGAGATGAGATGAAGCAATCAATTGTATTATTATTACTGTTGTTGTGGTTGTGGTTGTAATAGATGAGATGAGATGAGATGAGATATACTTTTTAATAAATGAAGCCTCATGAAATGAATGGCACAGTTATTTATGTTTTTTAAGAATACCATCATTTATCACCAGTAGATACCTAGTAACTATCTGTTTTGTTGAAAATGGAAATGAAAGTGAAAGTGAAAGTAAAAGTGGAAGTAACAGCAAAAAAAAGTATATAGACTTAATATATAATTTTTTTATGTTATATTATACTATATTATACTATATATATATACTATTATACTATATTATACTATATTATACTATATTATACTATATTATACTATATTATACTATATTATACTATATTATACTATATTATACTATTATCAAGGTACAGGTAAAGACTTATATTGTATTATAAGGATAGAAGAGCTATGAAAGAATGAAGCCCTATTTATAGGAAATAGGGCACGCTTGTATACTGTACCTGAAGCACAAAGGCAATTATAGATTATATAATTGGCGCTATAATAATACTCCTTGCTTAAGGCAATCAATTCACAATTGCAATATCAATTAACCTTTTAGAAAACAAAATAATATTAAAATACTCTAATTTCTATTATTAAATTAAAATGAATTTTCTTGGAAATAGTAATCAATTGCTGAAGCTTTTTAGATCTGCCTCGGCCCTTGATTTGGGGATGTGCTTGATATAAATACTAGTGGGGGATCAGAAGTAATAGATCTTTTGAAGTCTATCTAAACAGGCGGTTCTGGTTTATCTGGATTTGTTAAATGGAAAGCGATAATCGTATCTTCCTAGCCACAAAGGTTTTTAGCGGATTGCCAAAATGCTGAATAATATTTTTATTTGATTTGGTAGTGAAATCCGTTTTTGTTATAGTAGTTAAATAGTTTATCGAATTTCTATTATTTGGTTTTCTTGTTTATTTCGTTATCTCTTTTTAGAATACAGTTTTGATTTCAATAGGATTCAGTTTTGTTAATCACTTTTTGACTAACTAGTTTAGGTGAACAGTGGAGTGGTTGGAGTAATGAATTGTAGAATACTAAAAAGATTTTAAAATTAATGGGGAGCTAGAATAGATAGGCTTGTTTATAAACTTTTAGAATTTTATAGGGGCTATTCTATTTGTTATTACTTTTCTTTATTAGGCAATTAGTTTTTATATTTTTAATACTAATTTATATTTTGTTATTTTCTTTATATAAAAGGGTATCGGTACAAGTCTTATTAATATAATCTTTATATCTCTGAATAGATTAAGTGGTTAGAGCTTTCAATTTTGTTAGGATAATATCAAATCGGTTTGCAATCTTGTTGGTTTTTAGGAATTTGTGTTTATATTGATATAATAGATTTGGGGGAATAGATAAAGAGGGTTTAATGTTGAGGTGTAGATGAAAACTGTAGTTAGCGAAAAATGGGGATACACTAATAGTCTCTGAGGTAATATTATTAAGTACAAACTCTATAAATGGGAATCAATTGTATTAATTATTTTGATAAAAGTTTATAAAAGCTTGAAGATATTATTCTATTATAATATTGATTCTCTCTATTTGTTTATTGGATTCGAAATAAAACAAAAAGGATTGTTTCAAAGTAATCAATAAATGTTTAGATAAGTATTTCCAGAATTCTGATATAAATTGTGAATCTCTATCGGATACTATATTATCAGGTATATCATATAGGTAGTAGACTTTTTCAACAAATCGATCGATAAGTTTCTCTATAGATAGTCTTATAATCAGGATGAAATAATACATTTTCGTTAGACAATAGATAACTGTGATAATATATTAATACTTTTGTTATAGCATTTATTAATTAGTAATAATATAATATAATCAATGGAGATATCGAACTAAAGATAGAATAGTATTGATAGAGGTTCTAGAAATCCGGATATAATAAGATGGGAAACTTT